TAGAGTCTAAGTTTACCGTAGTAATTGACGCCTATCAAGAGTATGATATTATTGTGACTAGCGTGAATGGGTAAGCTTCGTTCGGACTATGAGCAGTTATCACTGTAAACAATGTTAAATTATTCTTCACATGCTCAGTTTATTTTTTGAGAACAATTATTTAAAAATAAAATCTCTCAGTCAATCGGGAACTCGGATTCATGCCTTCAGGGAAAGTCATGTTTGGACGCTCACATCGATTTGTTTTTCGTTCGGTGGGCTGATGCCTTCAGTGTAGCTTTTGCATCTTCCGACATAGAAATCATCTGAATCTTCTTTCTACCTCTCTTTCTTTTCACACCACGCATAATGTAATGATAAAAATTAAGAAAAAACGCTGAGGAAATATAATGTTTGGTTTGCTAGCGAGCGAGAACTGATTTGAGAATAATTGCACATGCGCGTGAATTGAATGAACTATGACCCGTACAATCTCGATTTGCATATTGTCAATCAAGGTCTTGTTATTTGGTTACTCATGCAAATTAGGCAATTGGACATAAACATTGCCACGTGTGAGTGTTTTTTATTTTTAACCAGAAAATAAACAGCAATTTTAACGGTGTTCCAATAAGAATTCATTGGTCAAATTTTCACAGAATGTTCTTTAGATAAAAATCTATATAAAAAACGAAAAAAACTATTTTTGATTGAAATTCACAAATAAAGTGCATCTCTACCTTAATCTAGGAGAAAAACACATAAAAACGAAAGTATCATAACATTGTTTGAGGGCAGTCTTACCTTGTTCATAAATCCAATTTATATTCTCATATTGACAGTCGTATAGAACCAATGGTAATTCTGATGCCATAGGATACTGTGGTTTGCATGGATTCTCTGTGATATCTAACAACTCATCAATTACCTAAAAAGTACAAAATATATTCAAAATAAATGATTCGGTCAGATAAACTAAATATCATGATATTAAGTGTCAAACATATTGAAGTTGAAATGTCTGGACTAAATTTTGGCTGAAACAAGTAGCAAAGTAATAAACACAAAAAATCCTTCAAAATTTCAATAGCAAGATAATAGTTACAAGGAAAAGTGGATAAATAAGTTTGTTAAAACGAGTTTTGCCCACAAAAATAGAAGTAATTTTTTTTCGATAAAATAACAATAACAATAGTCACTGTGCCCTCTAACATATTAATTGTTTTTTTAGGGATCCTGAATCCCCCCAAATCAAGTCAGCTTGTTGTCCTGCTGTAAAGGTTGGTCTTCATGCACCCCCTATTGTTTTCTCACTTGATATCAGCAAATTTACAATTTAAATATTTAGAATATTTCTGTTACCGTAGATTTCTCTTTACACTGCCCGATAAGAAATAGTATGGCCATAATACATCTGACTTGATGGTAAAGAAATGCTTGTCCCTTTATAGTAATTTCATGCATCTGAAATCCATTTTCACTGTGAAATGAACAAAGAGAATAAAGTTGCAGTCGCAGGCAATGAGAATGACATCATTTCATTAGCAGCATGAATTTATTTAACCCATCAGCCTAAACAGAACCATATCAGACTAACATATACATTGTACCGGTAAGTAAAGCAGAGCAAACTGCCAAATTTCAAACACAGGCTATAGTCACTGTATATGTACATACCCATCATCCAGAGAAACAATGTCAATTCTTAGTATTTTTCTCACAAAATTCACAACACCATTTGCAACATCCATCTAAATATACAAGGAAAACATTTTGTCAGATAGCAATAAAAATAATAAGTCATTGTCAATAGCATAGGGACACGATTGCATGACTACCAAGGTATTATCCATAATATTGACCAACTTGTATGAGATATGGCTCTGTAAAACTGCATTTGTTTAAACAAAATGACTACCAGTCATTTTTTTTTGGATATGAATGTCTGGTACATGTGTGAAATTTGAACTTGCTCGATCCAGGTGTTCTGTGAAACAAAATGGCCACCAGTTGGCCATTTTGAACCAGATCCAACAATAATTATGTTCAATGTATGCAATTGGTTTGAACAGAATCCATCAAAGCACAACCGAGAACTAGTTCAAAAAAATTTAAAATTTAAAATGAAAATGATTTTGATACATTTTCAGGTCTTAGAATGGCTGCTATTCAGGCATTTTGAATTGGATCATAAACAGATACATGCGCTTATGTTTGATATGATGTATGATATATGTGTCAAGACACATCTGTTATAAAGATTCAAAACTGGATTGTTTGCAACAAAATGGCCACCAGTCAGCCGTTTTGAACTTGATTAAAAAAAAATGCATGATTGTGCATATGTCTGATTTATATCTGATGTAAGTTTGAAGTTTGAACTTGGTCGACCCAGGTATGTATGAGATATGGCTAAATACAAACAGGACAGACACATGCACACACAGACAGAGGTCAATCCATAAGTTCTTATTTTTGGACTACACTCGAATGGAGGCTACTAAACTTGATGGACAGTAATGTACAGGTGTGTTTTATAACTCATCACAAAACTTTAACTTTACCTTGCAGAAATTCCTGTAGTCATGTTCTCCTACCAACTTCTGAGCTGCAATTTGCATAAGCTATATAAAGAATATTTATACAGACAGTTGAGTTGAAAGCTCCTTTTGTTTCATTTAAAAATTCAGTATTTCAAATTCCTAATTTCAGAAATCAATATACATATAATTCAAATGTCTACATATACTGGTTACATGCTGATGTCTTATAGCTGCAGTTTATAATCATTTTCATTCACAATCAATCAATTCATGTGTCTACATGCAGACATACTTGTATGTCTATTTCCATTAGGATTCCTTCCTCCTGAATTTAACGAATTTAAAGCAATAACGTTAAAAGAACATATGTCCAAGATATACAATTGCCTTCAATCTGTACAATTAATTAAGCTACAAACAGATACATCTAATTCTTGAGATGTCGAGCTTTAAACAAGATTCATGCAAAGTAATGATCAAAGAAAGCTTAGAAAGAACTCCCATGTGCTGAGAGTATTGGAGACACATTAAATATAATTCGAAATTACTTAGCTGAAAACTAATTATGCAAATCAGAAAATTAATATGACCAGATTTGAGTGTAAAACTAATGAGGTCTGCGCAATGTAACAGAAAATCTATGTCTCCAAGTTTAATTGAAATGTGATTAGAACCAAAAAATTATGAATTATTATGCTTA